AARKTWWKKTTTTTTTTAAATGGAATGTACTCAGTTTGATTTTATTTTTTGGATTCTACGCTAAATTACAAATAACTTTTATAGAGGTTGTTTTYATTTATCTGTTATCAATTTTAATTTGTGGCGCTTGTGGCACCCTCTATTTATTATTGTACCAATCAAAAGCTCTTTTGACAAGCTTTCCATCAATATAAGGTTTGTATAATCTAGTGTAAAATTCTAAGTTGCTATCCTAAAATAACTAAATTTTGAAAAACTTTTCTGTTTTGGACAATAAAAATCGAGTGGGCTTCTGTCATTGTTACAATCTATCAATTTTATTGTGAAGATTATAAGTCCCAAAATGAATTTTACTCGTCGCGATACCATTCCATTTAATAAATGCAGATATGCTATGTCGTGTTAGACTATCTTTTGGATGAAGACTGCATACTTGTATTGAAGAAAATGGTAATATTTTTGAGCATCTGTTATAAAGAAAATTGTAAAATAGCTTTAATGTTTTGTTTTTTTTTGTTTGTTAATGTTTTTACATTTTTCTACTAAATTGTGTTTATACTGCTTTGCATATGTTAGATTTTGCCTAATTTTCTCTGTAACTCAATTGTGCATAATATTGTACATTTTCTTGCAGCAAAGAATTCCATACTTTTGTTTATTTTCTGTGCTAATTTTTGTTGCATTAGGCCCACTCGATTTTTATTGTTCAAAACAGAAAAGTTTTTCAAAATTTAGTTAATTTAAGATAGCAACTTAGAATTTTACACTAGACTATACAATTACAAAACAATTGATGGAAAGCTTGTCAAAAGATCTTTTGATTGGCACAATAATAAATAGAGGATGCCATTTGAAAAAAATGAGTTTTTGACATTTTTAATTTGTCATGTTTAAAAAATCGCAGTAGGCACTGAGCAGGTTGTTGAGTAAACACTTAAAAGATGCGGCAAACATTCAGGAATCAAACGGCGTTACTTACTTTAACTTGTGTGCAAGTATTTAGAAGGTACGAATTTTTAGTCAGACCCCTGCATTTCAAAAATTCTGGTAAAAAAGCGCCACAAATCAAAATTGATAACAGATAAATGAAAACAACCTCTATAAAAGTTATTTGTATTTTAGCGTAGAATCTAAAAATAAAATCAAACTAAGTAGATTCCATTAAAAAAAACATAACTTTAGTGTTTTTTAATATTGGGACAGCCCTGTATATAAACCGCAATATTTTCAAAATGTGCAGCAAAAACGCAATTATAATCTAAAAAAAAGAAAAAGTTAGTATCTCCTAACATAAACAAGTTATAGAGCTTTTTCGGACCGTTGGGACAGCCTGTATGTACTTATCTACACAAATGTAGTGATAACTTTAGAACACTTTTTATTATAGTGCCCAAAACCATTGTTATTTATTGTAGTAAAATACAATTTTTTTATCTCGTTAGTATAAAACGCTGCCGCCGGTTTGTTTAATTCTGATTTTGTTCAAAACCACTGTTCAWAATCTTACTGATTTATTTTAACAARATTAATAAAAGTTAATAATTACCAAATAAAGTGGAGAAGCAAACCAAAATTTGTAAGACTTGATATGACCTGTCCTGACCTTTGTTTTCAGTAACGGCAGACCGGGCAGCAAAGCAGTGACAGAAAAATTTCGGATTGATTGGGGTACCTATATGTCGAGCCACTGCGACGTGGTTTACATCCGTTTGGACGTGCGAGGAGCCAGTGGCCAATACGACCGTGCCCTTTTCCGGCATTTGGGGGGTGTCGAAGTGCAAGACCAAGTCGCAGTGCTGGAACTTCTCCTCAACACATATAAATACTTGGACAAAACTCGCGTCGGAATTTGGGGTTGGGGGTACGGCGGGTATGTCACATCCATGGTGCTGGGGCTGGGCAACCAGCAAAAAGTGTACAAATGTGGGGCGGCGGTGAGTCCCATCTCTGATTGGGCGTATTACAGTGAGTAGCTACTTTTTTAGAGAAAATGATCTGTGTTTAAGAGAGATAATCTAGATTCAGCATTTACGGAAAAAATCCTCGGAGATCCCAACGAGAACAAGAAGGGGTACGTGCAGGCAGACGCCACGCAGCGTGCGCAGAACATCCCCCGAAACTCCTTTTACCTTTTACACGGTATGGCCGATCTTACGGCACCTTACATTCACGGGATTTCTCTGGCACGTGCCCTGACGGAAGCCGGGGTACTGTTCCGATATCAGGTGGGTGGTGCCTTTTCGGCAATATTGTTAAATAATGTTATTGGGGTTGTTTCAGAATTACGCCAACGAGGGTCATGAACTCGAAAACGTTTTGGAACACGTGTATAGCTCGATGCAAAGCTTCTTCGAAGAGTGCCTTAGACTAGATGTAGGCGAGCCCGATAAGGATAAAGATACCTGAAGATTGGTTTCCCACTTAATTCACCACCACGTGACGGCCTTCGAAACGCAGACATTCCACGTGTTATCAGTTACGAAAAGAAGAAAACAGCAGAAACGGACTAACGGAACTAGTCAATTCAATCAATAATCAAGCTGTTTATATCATAGCAAAACTTAGTGAGTTGTTCAGTGTAGAACGACAAGACGAATTAGTGATTCTTTTTTTCAAATTTTCTTGTTGAACAGTTGGACTAATATCAGATTTTATATATTAGATCCAAGTTGTGACCTCTCCTCTTCTTACACAGATTTCCACAGTTTTTACGGTGAAAAGTAATTAATGTCATTAGATTTCAACTTAAAAGACGAAATATCACATATTCATTTTTTTTTTGAATAAAGATTCATAAAGTGTTAACAAAGTATTGTAAGAAAATAATTTTAAATACCGTTAGTATTGAAAATCTTCCATAGAAGTAGATTTATTGTAAATAGCTTGAATTGATTAGAATAAGACTGATTTTATAAATTGTCAAAAATGCTTGAAGCTTTCGATTGCTTAATACAAAATGTTTCAAACGCTGTTTTAATCTTCACGGATTTTAAATAAAATTACAGAAATTTAATCTGTAGCGTCCTAAAAGCCTGTAATATAAATAATAATAAAAAACCATTATTTTAAACCACACACAATTTGGAGCTAAAAATACACTGGTTAAAACCGCACCTTTGAATTTTGGATATCAACAAATCCATAGCAAAAAGAATAAAATATTCACCAAGACAATCTCGAAAACAAAAATCAGTAAACTTTTTATTGATGACATTAAATACTTTCCACTTAACTTTTATACTGTCGGTTCACCTTTTCTATGTATCTATTATCCTTCTCGTTTCTTAATTTTCCTTCTTTTAGTGAAATAATAGTACAGATGATGTCAATTATTGAAAAACAATGTTTTAAAATTTTCGTAAAGCTGAATTATGACGATAAATCAAAATAAAACGACTTAATTATTAAACTGGAGCTTCGATATTTAAAAGTAATCAATAAAATGGTTGTGAAATATAAAACTTTCCATTTAAACAAGAATATATTATATAGTGTAAATTTTGCTTAGATTCATTAGTGGAAGCTGTGCTTCTGTCACAGCGAAGACAATCTTTACAAGCTGATATTTTGTTGATAAGTTTGAATTGGTTTTACCATGTGTCCACTAACGCTGTCAATTTTTTCTGAATCATCGATCAAAACATTCTAAATTTGGTGGTCTAATTTAAAAACTTTCGTTGAATGCGAAAATTTTTGGCCTATTTCTCAGAGGATTTGTGTTTTGTAACAATGGTTATCTCGGTGTATTATTTTTATAGCAATACTAATTTGTTGCAAATGTTGCCTAATAATTGTTGTACACATCAGTGTTTGTAAATTAAAAATAATGTGCAGAACACCAATTAAATTATTGATTTTTATTAGACAGCAATGTTAGATAATGGAATGTTAAATGTTTCTTTTTTGTATTATATTAAAAACAAAATGATGCAAACAATGTTTACAATAAATCGTTATTAAGTAAAAAACGCTTTATTGAACACCTTACATTTAAAAACATCAATCAGTTTGACAATTTAATTATCAAAATTATTACGAATACTAAAACACAACAATGAATCAAATTGTAAGGATTTAATTTGCACAACATACTTAAAACTAATTAGACTTTTCACAGGGACTTAAACGTAAAAGAATCCACTACAAGAGAAGAAGTCGACACTCATTTAAATTACATTGCAGGAAACAACGAAGAAAACAGTTAAAAAAACGAAAAATAAAATCAGAAATAACAAGACGTCGCCTCGCTGCCCTTGGTGGAAGATCATCTGAAGAGTCAGTCATCTACGTTGGAACAACCAATAGATACGCAAATGTTTCAGTGATTGATCTCACAAAAAGCTCAACCAACATTTTGGAGACCAAAAAACCAAACACTACCTCAAACAAAAATTCAATTTTCTCACCAAAAACAGTCTCCTTAGTCGATTACAAATTAAATGGTTCAAACGAAAGAACAGGGATCCTGCACGCGGAATATGAATACATGTCAGAAAAGCTCAGTCCTGAAAAGTGTTGATCTGATAAATGTCTTGTCCATGTCTAAATAAAATCTTGATTGAAAAACTTCATCGGAAGATACGCCTCACTTAAAAATGTATTGTTTTTAACTAAACCCTCAATCGAAGCCTTCTTCTCACTATTGAGAAGCAATTTTAGTTCGTCGGATATTTTTGGGTGTTCTTTCATGTATGGGTATTTCAGTAAAGAATTAATTGCTTTTATTTCCCTCTGGCGAACMTCTTGGTGTTGAATTCTATATTTGTTGATTTCGGAAGGGAAAACTCCCAACCAACGAGCATTTGGTACTGCTAATTGATCCGATAAATGACAATTCGCCTACAATCACACTACTTAAGTACAAAAAATTGATCAAAATTCATTTTTACAAGAGTTCCAAATCTGTAGTTTAACATAATTCGGATTCCATATACATCTGCGTCTACAAGAATGAAAACTGGTAGTGACAACATAGTSGATATTTTTCTGAGAAATAAGCGAGTGTTTATATCGGGAACTCCTTTACCCTAAAAATATTAAATGAGTTAAAATTACTAAACGCAAATAAAGATACCGTTATCATTATGAACGGACGTGCTAATTTATTCGGTAAATCCTCTTCTAATAATTTGTGAAAAATCGATTCTTTTTCGACCACAAGTATAAAATAAGCGGTAGAATGAATCTCAACGATTTCATCAAGATCATAAGGTATTAAAGTAGCTGTTAAAGAAATTGTTATATAATTTACAAAAAAGTTATTTGTTACCTGGTGTATTRCAATTAGTCATTTCACCAGAAGTCCAAAACAATCTCAAATTTCCATATACTAACCCAGAATGCGAAATAATATTCAAATCCCAAGGCCCAACACCTATCAATCGAGTTATGTCTTCAACAACACTATTTACTTGTGTTTGACTTCCTACTAAATGCTTGATTTGATAATAAATTTCTCTAAAATTTGTTCTAATAGAATTTCACTTCTAAAGTTTAATAATGCTACCTTTTGGTCAGTTTTTGCTTATTTTCCAACAAACTGTAGATTTTTCCCAACATGTAAATTATGCGGCAAAATGGTTGACGAGATTTTTGCGCAAGAAAACGTATTTTTCTTAATTTTCTTGCATCCAAAGGCGCATAGTGTAATCTAAAACAACTAATTATTTCAAAATCTATCGAAATTTTAAACAACCTTTCGTTTTCAAAAACACACATACTCGCTTTGCTACTATTTCGTACAACAAGACATGGTACTTGGTCATTGTCAAATGCTTCATATATTTTTGCAAAAATATCTTGAATTTTTGATTTAATTTTTTTCTTGTCGATCACTTGAAGTGTTTCACAGCAACTTATTATCAAATCTTTATTTGCGTAAATGTTTTCAATCGACAGTTTTAATTTTTTGACGAAAATGTTTTCAGTTTTGTCTTCACTATAAATGTAAGATAAATCTATTTCAGGCCTGTTCCCATTTTTAATTATTTTACAAATTTTAGTATTTTCTTTTGTAAAACATTCCATACTTATTTTTGCGGTTTTGTCAATATATAAATCGTAATTATTCCGGTCTTCCATTATAATAACTTCATCCTTCTTTGTTTTATTTATTATTGTTTTTCCGAGCGTTAACGCCGAATCTAGCCACTTTGCAGTACCCACTTTGACTAGATTATTAAAAATTTTGAAGCCACTGGTTGTGACTGTAATGTCGTAAGAAAGAATCTCGAGGATATTGACCRTTTTTTCGGATTTTTGGGTATCCATACAGGTCGTACACATGTTTCTATTAGGAGAGCGTCGCGAAACAACTGAAGTGTTAGTAATCTGACTGTCGTTTAGAGTTTGTGAAGTGACAAGGAAATCGTATTGCTTCTTCTTATTTACCACTGAGGTATCATTAAATTCAGTTTTTGTAAAACTTTGTGACGGAAAATACGGAAGTTGCGAATATCCATCACAATTAGAGTTTTGAGTCAAGTTCGGTGTAAAAATCTCAAATGATGTTTGTGTACTACAAGTCGCAGTTTTTTGTTTTTTGTTTAGTGGTGTCACCATATTATCGATAATATTCTCAACATTTTGTTCTTCACTTTTTACACAAACATCAGTTTGTTCGTTACCAGTCAGAGACATACTTATTTCTAAATTAGAATCTCTTTGTGATTCTTCGACATTTCTCTTTTTGCATTCATGTATTTYTTGTTGTTCGTGCAAAGAATTATCAGGAGTCAACATTTTTTCCATTAGTGCCTCAAAACACATGTTATCATCATCATTTTCAGTTATGGGCAAAGCCGATGGAATTTTCTTATCAATGGAGTTAACATTTTCTCTCTTTCGTTTTCTCGGAACGTCTATAGTTGGCGTTAACATCTTTTCTAGAAGTTTTTCAAAACTTGACTTTTGTGTTAACGAATATGAATCAATTTCTTCCTGTTTTTGAAGAGAACAAGTAGCTTCAAACCTTTTATTTTGGGAACTCTTTTTCTTTTCATTTTTAGAACAAGGTTTTGGAAAAATTTTAGAAGAACCACATGAAAATAGTGAATCAAATATTTTCTCGAAACTGGTGTCTCTTTCGTCTTCGCTACTATAAGTTACATATAAATGCTTAATTTTACAACTTTTTGAGTTAGAATTGTTGATGACATTTTTAATACCAAAAAAGTTTTCTTTATTGTCTTCAAATTTYTCTTTTTCTTGTGTAAGATTATCACAAAAACTCATTCGGTCATCAGACATTTTCTACTTTTCCAGTTAAGTACCCAATAACAAATATCAATTCCACCTTACTTTTTTTTTAAGAATTACGTTATTAACAATTAACACCACTTATAAGAAAAAAACAAGGTTATTGTTATTACTAACTGTCAAAGTTTATCTTTTGTTTCAATTTAACTACTTGGTGTATATCTAGTTGCCTAACAAACATAACACATTTATTTTACTACTATAAAATTACCAAAAAATAATTAATTATCTGTTAATTTAAATTGAAACTGTTTTGTAAATATTGCAATTTGTAAAGTCTAATTATCTATAAAATGTAATACAAAAGACATCAATTTTAGGTGTTTAATGTGTTGCCTACACACAGGTATATTTTTATTATTCGGATTTAATTTTTCTGATTTTGAACTATTAATTTTATTCAACAACAAAACGAATGTTTCAACTTTATTTTATAACTAAATAAGTAATTATATCAATCATTTAAATTATTTGCACGGAATTAAAATGTTAGTATTAAATAGAATAATCATTTGCAGCAAAATGAATCAAAAAATAGTTATACCTGAATCTGTATTAAAGTTTTTTTTATTTACATACCGCCAATAACCTCAGTTGGTACTATAAAAATTGTTAATACAGAATTTCAATTTATTTGGAATGCAAATTCCCATTCATAAACTCGTTTCTTGATAAAATCGCTAAGGGTGGTCCAAACATTACCATAACGCTTTGACAATTCAAATAATCAAAACAGGAGCACTTTTATAGTGAGCTTTATAACATAATAAATTTACTTCTTAAATCAGATCACATTTTGTCATTCACTCATTCAATACAAAAAGAAGCGTCCCCGTTACGAACCGGAATAATRTAAATGATCGCACCTCATAAATGAAATCATAAAATTTTACGACTTTTAAGGGTTGCACCATTTTATCCATGCAAAAACAACGTCACAACTTTGTAATTTATRTGGGAAAGGCAATCTGCCTAATCGCCTTATAAACTTACACTTTCGAATGTCAAATTTGTTCGCGAAATAAGACAGTTATTATCCTTATTACAARTCACACACTGCGTTTATACGGGATTTATTTAGATCTTAAATGCCGATATCAGTCTGTAAGAGTGCCGAGCTGTGCAAGTTCTTGGAGTAAAAGTTTCGGTTATTATAGAAACTAGAAAAGCAATTGATCCGAACAAAAACCTCTTGTAAACTGCGACTTTATCAATTTGAAAAATCTCGACCTTTTGTACCACCAAACTGACTTTAATGTGATCATAGTGTGATAGCTGAGGGCCATTGTTGCGACGGTTCCCGCAAATACAATAAATTTGTCACAATTTTAATATAGATATTGTAAAGGCCACTTGTGTGCAGAGAGCCACTCCACAAGAGGTGGTATTCTGTGTTTCTCAAACGGCCGTTGTGGGGCAATGCGGTTAGACAGTAGGAACAATACTAAGTGGTTTATACGATTGTAGTTTGTAGTTTTATTGTATCGCAGCTGCGATTATGTCCCTTGAATAAAAATTAGTTATGTGTCTGTCGGAATGATCGCATTGTCTGTATTATAATGTTTTAGACCGCATTCGAAAATTATGCTCCCATTAAAAAAAACTCAAACAATGACATTGAAAAGTCACGTCGCAGCTATGATCGTATGCATCAAACATCAAAATTGACAGCTGCCGTCCATCATTGACTTGATTGAGTAATCACTGTGCAAAAACTTCAAATGATCAAATCTGTAACATCGGAATATTCCCACGGACTAAAGCGTCTTTTATTTATTGCACATTATACTAAACAGTGGTTTAGTGTTACTCATTGTTTATGGCACTTCAAGAAACAAAATGAATCATTTACAATGTTTTGTCTATTATACTTATTAGGGTGACGCAGTGTTCAATTCCTGATCCTTAATCCAAAGCTTTCTAAGGGCGATAATCGTTGCCTTTATACTCACTGGTAATATTTCAACCCCCTCTGGACCAGTGAAATATGCTGGTTTGAGCTCCTGCGGTGCTATGCGTGTTAGCCAAGGGTGATTTTTTAGATGACCACTCGTGCCATAATGATCAACTTTGATGTTCTCATGACTTCATCTCAGTCTAAAACTATCATACATAAATACTCGCATAGTGAGCTTTTAGTCAATTTTAGCCACTTACCACCATAAGTACCGTTAAAAACAGAAATGAGAGAAAACAATATTATACTTACTAAAACTTATAGGGTTCGACAAATTAAATTCTACAAATTAATCTATCAAGTTTTTTATTGATTATTTTTATTCCAAATTAAAAAAGAAAAATGTTTCAAGTGAATATCAAAATGTTATGAAACAACATAATCTTTTCTAGTTGGGGTAATCTATTAAACCACCTTCAGGTTCGTGCAAAGGAATTTTATTTTTAAATTATTCTTATTGAAGGGCCTCAAGCTACAGATTTCTCAACTCTCAAGCCCTTATCACACTTCGAATAGCTAGTCCGTATTTATATTTTTGATCGCTACTCAAGTCTTAACTATTCTTTGAATAGAAAAATCCAGGAAATTTGCATTATTAGCTAAAATTTGCCAGGCAAGTCCTTTAAACTCAAGTTATTCCGTAAAAATTGAAAAACCGGTTTATCCAGTAAGTATTTATTAAAAAATAATAGTTTTATTTGACATTTATTAAAGGTCTCTTTTGTTTTCCAGAAACAAAACTTTAAAAATCAAATAAAAAATAAACACATTATTAAAAAGATACAGAATTTTTCAGTTTCAATTTTTTACACAATATGTTACTACAGATGTGGTATCTGAAACAATCAAAGACATGCTTTTTGTATTAAGAGCCTCTCATCTGAGTTAACGGTTTCTCACAGAAATAAAACCAATAATGTAGCTACCCTCAAATTGCATAACCAAAGTGGAATCCTGCCGCGACGATGGTAGATAAGGACACAGAGACCACCCCGTTCACACGCAAACGAACGACCGCAGCATATCCATCTGGACTGGTGACAATAAAATTCAAATTTTACGAACTGAAATATATTTTGTCACAGTCATTAACATCCGAGCTGCATTTTCGTAAAAATTCGCTTTTCTACAAAGAAAATATAGTTTCATTAGATTGCAACTTTATTATTGCATATGTCGAAGAAAAGTGTCGAACGACAAAATAAACCTCGAATAATAGTACCTTTTTAAAAGCAAAACAGTAATTATAAAAATGTAGTTTATTTGCCCGTGTCCGATTTAAAAAGGATTCGCTATCTGCCGTCAACATCTTAATTTCCAAACCCTGAGCATATTTATGGTGGTAATTATTTTTAACCAATGCAGCAGTGTGAAGTTAAAAGATTTTTAAGTCTGATAAAATTGTTAAATCTAGTGACAAACTTAWTGTTATAGCGGGATGGTGGTGTTAACGGGCCTATCACCTGACAAATCTTTAAAATGAAATTGATTACAAGTGCGGGTAATGATGTAACATTTGTAAGGCATTAATTATGATTTTTAATGTTACTCGAGAAGTCATCGTGATCCGAGAAGGTTAATTATATCCATCAATCCCAAGTTGAGACGTTTAGATAAGAAAAGGTGGCAAGAAACGGCAGAAAGTGTAAGAAATGTGTGATAAGAGGCAATTATTGCAGGGTAGTCCAATTCGGACTAATTGTGGATAGAGTAACTCACTTATCGCTAGCTGATAACGCTGACCGTTTAGCTGCAAATAGATGGGGGTCGTCACTTATGAAAACGATGCTATATGTACAGTTACAAAATCATTAAGCGGAACTGTAGACAAAAGCTTAACTTTATTTCTCAAAAAACTAGAAAAACAAATCAGTTAACTTTGCCACYCTCAAAAACTTCACTTTTTTTAAGCTTCCGYTTCRTCCTAATCCCGGCATACTTCTCATCGCATCTAGCACGTCTCAGAGTGACATAAGCTTCAAATTTCTTCTYCTSTTCACTCACTTTTCTCGCCTTAATTTTACTTRGAGCCCCTGTAACCTTATTCAAACCTTTTCCATCATCAATTTYTACAGTYTGATTCTTCTCAGGCAACAAAATCAACYTTCTCTTATACTCTTTCAATCGTTGGAYATTACCAGCRATTGACTCAATRCAACGATTTCTGCGTCGGGGGTCTACAGCAACCCCAAAAGTTCGCGCATATTTGTCATTCATACCAGCCTGTTTCAACTCTTGAAGAGTAAATCCACGTCCTGCTCGAACTTTACGGTTGTACCGTACGCTAGGGCAATGCACCAAAGGTCGCAGAAGTTCAGTAGGTTTTGGAGCCACCAGACGCGACTTCTTAGCACGTAGAGCTTTACGCCGGAGTTTCTTCATAGGCTGGTCGAACCAGGTTTTCACTCTTTGTTGCCATTTCTTATGGAAATGGCCATTAGAGATCATATTGTTATGGCGAACCATTTTTAGCTGCAAAAACCAAAAAAAATTTTGTAACCGAAAAAAAAAAACAACGGTTTTTGGAAATGGCTCTAGACTGTTGTAAATTACGATTTAAATTCCTAACCAGCAAGTTTTACCTTCAATTCTAGTAGTAACACGWGCAGAAAGGAAAGTGTTAAATCGAAAGACAGTTGAAGAAACTTTCAAAATGGCCGACAATGTTTGTGAACCAATCGAGAACTAATCCGTTACTGGCGGCATTTTTAAAATTCAATCAATTTGTAATTCATAGATTATTTAGTTTATAAAAAGAAAATACGACATTTAGCATTCAGCTGCATTATAATATAATAATAGTGCATCTGCTCTAGGTATCAACTTTTATCCAGAATTGGATTAAACTCATTTCGAGAACTCACTACTTAATTTTTTTTACAATTATTGTTATCAAATTATTTTTTATATTTTAAACGTAATAATAATAATTCGTTATAAAACGTGACTTATCCAACACGATCGGTTAAGAAAGTTTAAGAATGAGTGTTGTATCAGATGTAGCGATAYGATCTTCGAGTCTAGCAAAATATTAAAGGGTTGCAGCTTGTGCAGCCTTAACACCTAATGATCTTTCCCAGTTTGAATTCTGACGGATGCAGATATGATCTACAGTCGACTGGAATACATTTATGCAACATGATGTTCAATCGCTAGACAAAAATAAACATTTTCTTCGATCATGTAGTGTCGTATTTTATCCATTTTTAATAAATTACCTACTACTCAATTTATTATAAATTTTGATCACTAAGTCTTTATTTTTACCACTGTGGATATGTAAAACAGTTAAATTTCCCCTTCATGAAGATAGTTATAATAGAAAACCACCTGTACGAGCTTATCAAAATGCAATTTCTACAGTGTGTATGCGGGCACGTGTCACAGTTTATTTTCAGTTTTCATTGTTTTTTTTTATGTATAACGTTCAGACTCGTTTTAATTAGATGATTCATCTTAAATATGTTTATTAACACGTAATACCAAATGTGAGCTGCCTCTCTTGTAAACTTGAACCATATTTTATCCCAAGCCGGTTGTATGATTTCTTTTGATTTAATAGGGGGCGTTTAATTTATTTACGATTTATAACTAAATTGGAAAATGTTGGTGAGTTACTGTCCTTTCCAGGCGCCGCAAAAGAATAATGTGTTTCTTATTAAAGGATAATTAAAATAAAACCAAGTCGAATACATAATTTTTTATTTTGCTTAACGCTGAATTTTTTCATACATTCTTATGGATAGTTAACAATGGAAAAGTTTATTCTTTGTAGTTTTGATATTATCACTAGTGGAATGGCAAAAATCATAGCTCTTGGCTTCACTTAGAATTGTAATTACAATATATAAATACTAAGATAAGAATCGTATGTTACAAGCTTGACTACTGAAAAATTTGTTCGACTAAGCGATCAGATCCATGCATAATAAACAGAAAAAGTGTTTTCATCCTACGAGCAATTTATATAAAATTCAGTCTGTGTATTCTAATGAACTACGAGTATGTTCGCGTAAGCGAATTGTTAACCCCGTTTTCGCCTGATTTCGATTCGAAATAAGACGATATAAGTGGTTTGTTCAATTAGCATAAAACTGTAATAGAATAAAATTTTCCCCAGTTAAATGTATATCAAGATAAGATTTAACAGGAAAACTGGCATTCTTCAGATAAAGTCAATAACAGCCAAACTTCGTAACTGAACTTAATCAACCCATAAAAAATGTGTTTGTGGCGCAGATGCAAGCACCTTGTTTTATTTTAATACAAGTTTTATTACAGTTTATCCGAGTTCACTTTTATTTCCTTTCGAGTTTGCACTTGTCCTACCACAACTGCCGAGATGTTACCATGGTCAAGGTAAGCTGGTCAGCTGTTGCCGACTTTTTCAGGGGCATTTTTACTTCGTGAAATTCTAACGTCAAAACTAATAGCTTCTCGCAGGGCAGGACTCGGGCTGATTAAAATTTCAAATCTTGGATAAGCACAGTCTGCAATTTAGTATCGGGCAGATGTGCGAAAAGCCCCCAAGTGATTTATCTCGACTTCTGAAAATTCGTTCAAATTGAGTTAAACTTGCGGTACAGTAAATTACTGTAGCAATTGACAGCGGCCATTAGCCACACAAAGATCTGTCAAAACTCAACATGGGAGCTCATTATTTCCTGAAAAATCTGCGCTGTAGGTATACTGCATCCGATTGAGAGCTAAATAAAGTTTCAAGTTCTACACCTGTTTTCTTGTAGCAATTGCAATTACATTCAGTTGGTAAGTTATGGCGATAATTTAACGTCGATTTTACCCCTACTGAAGCAATATGTTTTATCGACAAGTTTAATGCTTGTTCTACAGGTTTCAAGTCAACATTTAACATCAATCTCAAACCGCAGCTAAAAACAAATTTATTAAATATTTGCCGTAAGCATTTTTCCCAGTACAGCTCTGTGCGAGAGATCGCTTGCATCCTGTACACTGTATTAAACAAGACTATTAACATTAACTAGCAGCATCAGACGGGAAGGAGTTGCTAACCTAAAAACCTAGAAGTGATGTCTAGCGTGAGTCTAGCACTTGTCTCTGTTACTAGTTTCAAGTCCTATTTCAACCGTTTGCAGATCAGAGGCAGAGCCTTTGTATTTTTTCCACTTGGATTTTTCGATTTCAAAACAAGTGCACTTACAGTAGGTAAAATATTTAAGGATTTTTTGAGCTTTCTAAAGATTTTAATGACCTATTTGAGAAACTTGTTCACATAAGGTATTAATTACAAAGCTGAACTTTTAAAACATTTGTAAGATATTTTTAATTTTTTTTAATAAACATTAATTTTTAATCTTTTTTTCGACTTGGTTTTCTACTTTTTCGATTTGTTTTTCAGACACACTTGTTTTTCCTGAGTTTCTGAAAGCTAAAGGTCCTTTAAGACCTTGGATTTATATTTATCCATAGATTTTTTTTAGAGCTAATAATTCTTTTAATGACCCACGCTACTGATCTCTCATGCAAAACAGCGATCAGCAATCACACTTGCAGCTATAAATCAATATTGTAATAATTATTACTTGTTTTTGCGCCAAGTGGAAGTTGCTCTAATAAAATTAATATGAACATGCAAAAACCTACGCACCTTATATCCAACGACACTTGACAGAACCTTTGGGTGCTATCATCTATTAGATATCTCATAATAAATTCTCTTTGACAAATTATGAATATTATTTAATTTTTCTTTTATAACGAAATCCATTTATTGTTACCTACCTCTTCAAGCTTCCTTTTACGGTCGCATTTATATTTGTCAAAATGTGGATAAGTAACTTTGGTCAAAATGTTTCAAGAATGCAGTTCAATCAATTTCATTTCCTTTTAAAGAAAGAATTTGGCACGATAATGGCCTCTTTCTATATAAGGTCACACAATAGAATTGTTTCAAACTGTTTCAAAAGAATTTAAAATAGATTATTTAAGTAAATAAATTTGCTTTACTATGCGCACCTTTCTAACAAGTACCTATGTACATTCTAGATACCTTTAATGTTAGAGTAATTACGAGCGTGTGCCAAGCATGAGGGTACAGGTGATAACATTTTTTCTAGTTTATAACGTGCGCTAACCAGTTTAACGGTTGCTAGTATTGATTGAAAGCGACTACTTCTAAAAAACACAAACTATTTGAAAAAAATGGCCAAGCAAGACTAAGCAATAATTTGGCAGGCAAGGATTGTTTTATCTTCTCTTTGATCTATATTATCCTTTCACACCTTGGCTGTTTGTTTTATCCTTGTAAAAAAACCGCATGCTCCTCTCTTGAATAGATCGACCACCTCAAAGCCGGGTCAAGCTGTGAAATATTATCACTTTATTATTCTTAAGAATCTAATCCGTGTTGAATCTGACGTCTCAATAGAGACAGAGGGTGCCTGAAAAAAGGTGCAAAAGGGTTAGTTGCGCAACGCAGGAGACCTAACGGTAGCGACTTATCAGATGACGAATGACCCACCGGAAAGTTTCGAATCCTGAAAACTCAGGTAATCGGAAAGTCAAACGAAGGGGTGGCCACCCTTTCATTACGGATAAACGTCGAATAACAAGGGTTAAATTACAGTATTGTGTGTGCCACTTAAAGCGACTACTGTACAATCACAGTCGGTAAACTGTTATGGGAAAGTGAAATGGTAGCTGGAATAAAACTAAATTAGTCATTTCAATTAAAACGGGATGTGTGCACCTGCAATCTGGTTTTATGAAATTAGACGATTTTGCAAATTAAATGTATCAACCAGATTGTAAAATGAAGAATGTTTGCTCATAAATTAAACGTGATTGTAAATTTTGACAAATAAAGCATGCCTATGCAGAAGCTGCACTTCTTGTTGAATACGTTAAGATACTGAACGAGTATTTGTGGAGAATGTATAATGAGCAAGATTAGAGCGCTACTGACAACTCTGAAAAATATTTTACACGTTGGCTGTCCGTAATTAATGTCATTTTAATGGTGAAAGATTTAGCAATTTTTCCAGAAAAGAGAAACTTTAAAAAATATTAAGTATCAGAAATTTTTGCACGATATTTTTATCAGTGAACTGATATAAATAAAATTAATGCATGGTGGTACAGATACGATAACACCTATTGATTTTTGGAAAGTTACGGTCCGTTCAGTTCATTTACCTCTTACTAAACTTGCGATTATTTACAATTGACGCAAAAATAAAACAGTTTTTGTGGGTCCATGCAAAGTGAAKATAAATCTGTTTTTTACATTATTTAACGATAATTTAACAGAATTATGAAAGAGACAAAGGACCAGTAATTGTTTATAACCATTATAAAAAGTTACAATAAACTTATTTTTACTGTTAATAACTTTTAAATCAGATACTTGTGGAATAATTTTAGTTAACAACATTATGCATGTCTTGTTTACTACAAACCTTTTTTAGTATTCTGAATATTACTATTTAAGTTTCGATTATAACAGCTTTCCATTCAAGTTTTTACAATCTAACTAACCGATAATTTAAATAATTAGAAGTGACTTCATTGAGAGTCAGGATGGTAATTTATAAAACCGTAGATCATCTCTGTCGTAAAATTGTAGCATTTTTTATTTTTCAATAATTTCTAATTTTTATATTTTTGTTGTGCAATTATTT